AAGTATCATACTTGGTGGCATCACAATGCAAATCTTGATACAAAATGACATTCCTAAGTATAAATGTTGTTAACAACAGAAGCAACGCTACTACTTTTTTTGTGATGACATTTCTTTGGGGAGAGCTCTGGCAAACAGCAGAAAAATTAAATCTTTAATTTTAATGAATTCTTGGGGCAGAATGATTTCTTCAGAACCTAATGCAAATGCTCAGAATGTAATCTGGGAAAAAAAAAAAAAAAAAAAACCTCTGCATGTATGTTTTGGGTGGAAATCCTGAGTCAAGCACTGTACCTGGGGTTTGTCTAACAAGATCCTGGACTAGACTACCCCTGGGTCTGCCCCAGAATGGCTATTCTTACATGTTGTGCAAATAAAACTAATTATACAAAGTAAACAACGAAGTGAGGATTTTCTTCATCACTTAAACTTGCTCTGATGGAAACCTGAGCTGCAGGGCCACTAAGATCTACTCCTGCTTCCCAAAAGACTGGAAGCAGTACAGCAACTTACATAGCTTTAACCAGTAAGTTACTAAGCACTGTTCCAACACACAGTGAGCATCAGTGTCAATCCCAGAAAGCTCGCTATCTAAACAAAGCAATTTTGCAGATCCAGAATGGTAGAAGAAAATGGAGAAGAGAAGAAATAGCTTGTGCACAGGACGATCATTTAGCTCTTACTTTTAGGGACTTTTACGCATTTGTCGCATAAGACAAGGAACGATGGAGTCAAGCAACCAGATCTTTATAGCTTAGCAGTGAGCAGCATAACTGTTGAGTAAACTTCCTTTCAGTACAGAATTTAACTTGAAGACACCTAGTCAAATAACAAAAATTAACTGTAAAGCTAAAAGAGAGAGAGAGACTGAGATCCTGCTAATATGCTGCTCATTTGTTCCAGGATACTAAAAAGGCTGCAGAAAGAGAGTGCCTCACATTAGAGCTGGAAAGAAACATGGGCTCTCTTTGAGCTCAGGACAAAAAATAGGGATGAAAGACTCCCTCAGAACAAACAGGTTTGGGTCTGTTGCTGGAAGACTACAAAATCTGGAATGAAGCAAAGAGCTGAAAACTGAGAGAAAAGTTA